GGATTCCCATTGGTGCGCCGGGGGAATCTCTGCCCGATCTGGGTAGCTTTGCCTTGGGTTGTGAAAGAATTTTAGGGTTCTCCTTTCCACAAAATGGAATAGTCTGGATTATCACTAAGCCTGAGACAATGTTTGAACCACAGTCAACCAGTAACAAGACAAAACTACACAAGGATTGATTATGTAGTAGAAAAGATTTATACAAAAAAATTAATAATATAGTTTGTTGATAAAACAAAAAACAAGTAATTTTTTCATTTTCTTATCTGGCCACAACCTAGACCTTCAGGAAGTCCTGCCAATATTTCCAGAGATCAGCTTTCCCGCTGATCCTGCCAGCCCGGACTGCTGGGGACTTACACTCCTACAAAGCCTGAGATAATACAAGGACCATGGCTAAAATAATCAAAATTCTCCAGAAATTTCTTTCCTTCCTGAAGCATTTGGAATTCCTCTAGCTCATGGGTGGGCAAATTATAGATCTGTCTGGCAGTAGACTCCATTTCCAAGCAGCCCCTGCCCATGTGGCTGGGGCTGGTTTCCATAGAGACCTTAGCAGCAGCCGCACTGTGATAGCGCAGGGCCAGGGTCTCCATGGAGACTGACCCCAGCAGCGCTGGCAGGCAGCAGCAGCACCAGCCTCCTCCTGGTGAAAGGGCTAAAGGGGGGCTGTGCTGAGGACAGAAGCAGGGCAGGTTCAGCTGCTGCCACCTGTGCAGGGCAGGCAGTGGCACTGGTACTTCTGGGAGAGATGGCTACAGGGTGCTGTAAGGAATTATGAGGAGACTAAAGCTCCCCACAAGCCCACCCTAGCACCAGCCCTGCTGACAGGGCATGTGGCAAGGCTGGGTGCTGCTCCAGAGTCAGGCTGGGATCTTGAGGCAGTGGCAGCATGCTCCAGAGCCAGGGCAGAGCCATGATTTGCAGCCTGCATGTGCCGGGGGCAGGGGTGTGTAGGCAGCAGGTCGCGACTCTACCCTGGCTCTGGACCACGCTGTCACTGCCGCAAGTTCCCAGACTGGCTCCGGAGCAGCTCTGCACCCTGCTGCACACCCTGTAAGCACCGCTGGGGTCAGTCTCCACAAAAACCCTGGCCTCACGCTATCACAGTGCAGCTGCTGCTGGTGTCTCCATGGAAACCAGCCCCGTCCATATAGGAAGGGGCTGCTGGGAAATGGAGTCTGGCCGCCCGCCGGATCCACCATTTTGCCCAACCCTGCTCTTTCTTATGGCCCCTTACTCTGAGATGCCTTTACTGTTGTGGGGGGGTTGATTTTCCCATTACATTCATACAAAACCTTGGATACCCATCTCAGCAACAGCCCCTTCTGCCTGTGCTTGGAAGTGGCAAATGTTCTTACCACAATGGCAAGAGATACTTAGCGTTTTCACCTCCTCCCTTTTTCTTAGACATGCATACCTCCGTTCCTTTGACTAAACTATGTCCCAAAATCCCAAATATACATAGACAGCATACATAATCCATAAAATGATAAAAGCAACATAAATGAATACAGCATAACGCTGGCTTTTCAACAAGACAACCATGCCATTATTAGTAAAACAAACTCAAGAAAACATGCATAACTTGTTAAGACCAGCTCAAAATATTGTAGGGTTAGTGACAATAATAAGGCAAATGGTTCAAAGAACCATAAAATGGAACGAATGCCTAGAATATCTAGTTTTCATACTGTTATTGTAAGCTCATAGCCTCATCTAATCTATATCTAATTACAGGTGAAAAACTGCCATACTTCAGGGGATCTTTGAGCATAACTAAGTAGCCTCAGGAACTGCAGAAAGCAAAAATATTAACAATTTTGTATTCTGAGCAAAATAATGTAATACGTTCAGCATCAAGACAACAAATGATGGAATGGCAGAGAGTAAATTAATTACAGAAGAGGAAACATTTAACAAATGTTCATTAAAAAATAAAACAAGTTCTAAACAATGTCAAAGAGAACTAAATGCCTGACCTTGCAATGTTTTCAAGTAGCCAAACAGAAATAAGATGTGTTCCATCTCACTTTGAGGAGTTGGAGTGTAACAAGGTATCTTCCAGAACCAATTGTCCTTTTCCAAGTTGCAGATAAGACCATAAAACAGTTTACTACTCCATCTCTGGGACTTCTCTGGCCTTTGCTAGGACATTTCAGAGCCCCTCTGCGTACTTTCTAGGTCACTTGTTCTTTTCATCCTCATCATCCCTTACACAGAATCTCTCTGATGTGGATCATATCTGTAGTACTAAAAAGTCTCCTGCCACATACTAATGTTTCATGAGAACATTTAAAACCTTCCAAACACCAGTTTCTTCATATCCTACATAATACCATTATTTCCATGAATTACTTTTCTTTTCTTTATTTAACTGCTACACCTCCTTTTGTATCATTCCCTTTTGCTGAGCCATATCCAGTTCTTACATTGAACCACTATAAAATATAAAAGCTCTACTATGCTTAGCTTCTTTCATGCAGCAGCAGGTGATTTTGAAAGGCCAAACACTGTGCCCCTTCCTTAATAATCTGCTCCACTCCCACTGACCTTCTTAGTTCACATGTTAAGACTTACTATATCTTTGGTCCTGACCTCTCATTATAAAAGAGGAATTGCTAGGGAGGATTCAGTTGTTTTCAGTGCCCCTTTTTACTCCCCCTTGTATCTGCCCTTCATAAATTTCAGGATTTGTGATATTGGGTCATCTTCTGATTTAAACTGCTGGGCATCACAGTGCAGCACTTTGGCTGCCTGCAGATGCATAAAAAGATAAATGAATAAATAAATTTAAAACAAACTGTTTTACTGGAAACAGCAACACATTACTTCAACCCAGCTCTGCACCGCCTGTCTAGATCGGGCACTTCAGCAGCACTTTTTGATGCTTTTATCTAAAGCTGAGTCAATCAACTATTAGATAAAAGTGCCAAAAAAGCCCCACTAAAGCGCCTGATCTCTACAGAAATCAGGCAAGCTGGGTCCAATTAACATGCTGCGTCTTCTGGGGATGCACTGGCTCGGCATGGGAACACATGGAGTTTAAAGTAAAGCGCTGTTTTTTTGTTTTATTTGTTGTTTTTTTAACATCTGCAAGCAGCCTTTATGACCTCACTAGATCTAAGAGGTCTGAATCTCAAGTCCTTAGCAGCATTTACCACTAGTTTGGTCTCTTATATTCAAAACAGGGCATTACTTCTGTGGCTTCTACAGCTGACTTCAGCTCTGTAGCAATTTGATGGCCTATCCCTGGCCTTGAATTCCTAACAAGGAGAAACCCAACTGCATCTGCCTTGCACACATGGGAGTCACAAATTGGTCCCAGGCTAATAAATTCTGTATTTTATCTTCACAGTCTGAGAATGCCTTAATTACTAATCATCAAATAGCAAACCAAAGCCACTGAGAAAAAGACTACACTCTTTGTTATCGCCAATATTGAAAGATACTCATTTACACTCAGGATATGTAGTTTGGTCAAGAGAGTACTATACAGCATTGCTGATAGATGCAAATCCCCCATTTTTTTCATATGCTTCAGTCTGGGCTTGACATTGCAGTCCAACAAAATATAGGTTAATGACCTCTTCCCTATAACTTAGCCTTTATAACTGCTGGGAATACCGGACTCAGCTGGTTGGACATTTGCAAATAGATGCAAACTGTTCCTCTATCAGGATCCAAGGATCAGTTTGTCAGGATTACTCCTGTTAATCGTGGAGTATCTCTGGCTCCTGTTCACTAGACTTCTGCCAAAGATATCCAACGGGCCTCTTCTTAAGTTACTGGGGATTCCATTACTGTCTCCAGGGTAACTATAGGTTTTTGTGGGATTCTTGTTTGAGAAACCCTGGAAGTATATCATGACAGAAGAAAAAGCTGCAGTTACTCCAGCTACTATCCATGGCTTTAATAATCAATGCATCTCTACATTTCCAAACTGCTGCCAAACACCAAGCTCTTCCAGGGTGTTGAGCAGTCTGCAAGTGTGACTTCACTCCTCCCAAAAGCTGAAGAATCTTCATTACTGATGACCCACTGCTTATCCAAGCAAGAGGAAGAGAGGAGCAGGAACAAATGACCCACTGCTTATCCAAGCAAGAGGAAGAGGGGAGCAGCAACAACCCCACCACTCTCAGATTCACCACCCTGTCCATTACTGGTCAACCAATTCATGATGTAACTAAGAGTTTGAGCTTTATTACATACTCCATTAGAGATAAGGGTATGTCCTCTGAGGAGGTTATCTGAGCGTTAAACATCTGCTTACTGAGCAGTTCTTACCCTTGAGTAGATGTGCTGCATCAATGTATTTTACAGGACTGGCACATTTGCAGTGATACAGGATGGCATCTGTGGTACTACACTAATATTAGTTGGATTGTTGTAAATAGAAACCCTGTTATCTAATGCCACTGCAGTAGGCTCCTGCACCCAGTTTCAGTTGAAGACTCATACATATTTATCAGTGTTAAAGGCCAGTCTACTGAGAACCAGTACTACATCAAAAGGAGAATCGAAGAGAAAGATTTCTAGGCTGAATCACTACCTGATCCTGCACAAAAAAGTGAACTAGGACTTAAGGTACTATACTGTAGCTACAAAATAGCCTAGGGTATAAATGTCATTGCCTGGGGCTAGGGTAAACTATACTGTCATCACTACCTGATAAGCGTGTCTAGTTACACTGATAAAAACAAGCAAGTGAGAAGTTAAACTTCAGTGACCCACACAGTAAATGTACTTAAAAGAGTAACATTTGCAACAATGCAGTAAATGTCTCCATAACAGATGCAAGCCACATAACTGGGCAAACCTTTTATTAGAAACATGAATATGTTAACTTTTTCAAAGCAAAACACAGTCTTGGGCACAATACAAGCTAGTGTTTCATCAACTATATAATTTTTGTTTCTCAGGGCAACAAAAGATTTTTTTTGTCATCCAGCCGCAAGATGGAAATGTAAAGCTAAGATTTTGTTCTTTGAAACACATACCTTCACTATGACAGTTTGATCAGAGACACTACTCATCATCTCATTGATGGACTTAAATAGCTGCAGCAAAGATTCCATGAAGTCTGCTTCGCCTTTGTTTTCATAAAGTCTGAAAAACAAACAATGGTTTACATAATATAAGCACAAAGCACAAAATGAATAATATAAGGAGTTAGAAAGGGGGAACCAGAAAATTACCAAGACATAGCCTGTATGAATAATGAAAATTGGTTCTGCAGCAGGCATTTTTTATTCAAATGACAACTGACAATTCCTTGCATGGAACTTGGCATTTAAGAAAGTTCTAAAATTCTTCTAAGTTTTTCAATCAAACAGAACATTATAAAATGGAAAGACCACAAAACAAAGGCTCATTCAAGTAGGACCTGAATAATTTATATTTAGTGTTAAATATCAAATAGATGGACACTTAAATTCTCAAGACCTTAATCTCTATCATGTCAGGACAGCTGCAGAGGGATGGACCCAGGGTGGCCTCATCCGCATATTCTGAGGGTTGGAACATGCAAGAAGTGGATGGATACAATTGTACCCAGGGCCAGCCCAGGCAAGGCAGCCTACTACCCCAGTTTTCTTTGTCTCATCATGTCTCATGTATGCAGATGCTGATAATCCCTTTTATTACATAGCACCATGACCTAATACACTAATAAGTGTACTTTCCTCTTATTTCCTTCAGTTTCATTGTCTGCTTAAGCTAAATCAAAATAGAAACTACTTACTCAACCATGTGGCTTTGATCTTCTAGGTCAACAGCACTGCAGCCTAAGTATTTCACGTGTTCAAGTCTTAGTTTAATTTGATCCCCTAAATTTGAACATGGCCCTTGTTCAGGGCCTGGCAGAAGTGCATATTTTACATTATATAAAATATACATCAGTAAAAAAGTTTGGTTGTCGGTAAAAATAAACTGTCTTGGGTTGACAACCCTGTACCATAACCACAAGACTTTTTCCTTGTTAGTACGTCCTATGAAACACTAGTCCTGAGGATATTTAAGCACAAATCTACAATGTAACACTAATTTTAATGTGTTTAAACAATTACCACATATTATGCAGGGTTTCAATTTTACAACAGTGGGCCAACTGTTGTAGCATTCACATTTGGTAGCTTCCCTCATTAATTCATTGTTCCAAGTCATTCATTGTTATGATTTCCTACTGTTAACACATTTTGAATTACTGCTTAGCACCAGGAAATCCAATGGACAACACCAATGGGTCATTCTGTCTGTAAATCTAATTTTCACCAAGAGATAATTATTTTTCCTCTTTTAAAATGATTTGTAGAACCAGAAACAGCGCAAGTGACATTCAGTACTTTATGAATCTCACAGCAAGAGTATTACAGATATAAATTACATTGCCTAATTTACAGAAAGGCTGGCAAAGTTGGTCACTTCACAGCTCTACATAAATTCCTTATAATAACCTTGTTATAACCTATAACAAATAGGCAGAGCTACATCTCAATTCAGACAAATACATAGTAAGCTTGCTTACCGGCAGGAGCCACACATCATTGGGCCAGGCCAGCTCCATGCCATCATGTGGGGCTTCCAGCATTCCAATGGAGTGCCACATGTGGCGGCACAGAGTCCATCCAGCCGGATGGCATGAAACTCCCGAAGGCTCCTGGTCCACGCACCATCAAGCTGGGTTTACTCTGTGCCTCCATGTGTGGCTCCTGCACTAGAGTGCTGGAAGCCTCACGTGGAAGCATGGACCTGGCCCAGCTTGAATGCGCGCAGCTTCCACCTGCAGTACCAGGAACACCACATGCTGGCATGGAGCCAGCACAAAATGGCCCAGTCCTTTGAGATGCCACAACACACACATGCATATTCATGTGGACATGGCTTAAGATTTCAAGTTATTTTAGAAACAAATTTTCTTGTGTTCCTTATTTTCTTCATAACTGGATTAAAACTAAGGAAAATGTGTTTTGTTAAAGTAAGAATAAATCCAATAAATTTAGACATTTCCATATTTCCACACCATTATTTGTGGATATACTGAATACAGGATGGTGTAGTATGGAATAAAGGACTGGTTGCCACTTGTTTGAGATGATGACATCTCTCAAGGGTTTTCCACTTTAAATAACCCTGACATTCCAAACTCATATCAACAAATTTCTTTAACCTTATTAAACAACCACATATTATGAGTACAGCAAGAGCCCCTGGATAGTTAAGGCTTCCTTTAAATATCCTGTTTCCAGTCACACCCAGCAATCATGAAGTTATGACTGACAGAATGGAAGCATTATAAATATAATATGATGTTATTTTGCATGTATACCCACATATCTTCACAATTTAAATGCACGAGACTGGGTTAAAAAACTTGTCAAAGAAAGGGGAAAGTTGAGAAGCAAGAAGAGGGCTGTCCAACTAATCCAGGGAATATTCAGTGTTTGACAGCTGTGATAGGATTATTACAAACCATAAAGTTAATAGCAGGAGGACCAGGAAATAACTGGTAGCAACATGGCCAAACTATCTTCACACCCCACAAGAGTCTATAAAACCTCCATTTAAAACCTATTGTTTAAGCCTTGTCTTATGCTTCTGGGATGAAATAAAATTGATGCAAGGTAAATAAATATAGTATCAAGAAAAATTGTTATAAACTAAACTGTTCTTAGCTTTAGGCCACAAACAGACATTCCTTTCTAACAGAGTAAACTTCTGAGAAATTTAATAATGGAATTATCAATTGTTTGGGAAGAGGAAGCAGTACGAGCATTTAGCCTACAGTTGTACTCACTCCCCACCTTCCCAAACTGGTGTGGGGAAGGTGTAGGGGCCACAGACTGCTCCATTCCTCCCAGTCCTGGGAAGACTTGACTAATGAGGCTTAAGAGTCCCCACAGGATAGGTGGGGGGAAGCACTTCAAAGACATTATGTGCAGCTACTCCCCAACCTTGGCCAAGGAGCAGAGTGAATATGGGCCCAAGCCTCCAATCAGTTCCCTAGACCAAACAGTCCCTGGTTTGGGGAAGAGGTCAGAAGAATTGCCCCCAGCTCTTCTCTCCTCCCAGACCAGTCAAGGAAGAGAGGGGAGCAGCACTGCAAAACTCCCAACCCCATTCTCTCATCACCTCCCACCTCAGACCAGGAGGGGCGCATGCAGGCATCTGTTCTGGAGAGAGAAAAAACGTGTTGACACCTGGAAGATCTTTGCCAAAAAGATGCAAGTTTCCCCCGATGAAGTTGGAAAAAACAATGTTTGTATGCTCATCTTTCTTCCAAGAATAGTAATTCTACCCGTATAAATGTAATGGCTGTGCATGACCTTAAATACTAGCATCCTTATGAAACCCGGCTCATTTCATAACATTCTACAAGCAAATACAATATGTATAGAAAATACAAAAGAAACCAAATTCATAACAAAATTATATCATGCAAATGCAATTAAAACAGAAGGAAACTAAAGTTAAGACAGAAAAAAATTGGGCCTTTGATAACTGTTACTTACTGATTAAATAATATTCTGGATCGCACTATAAATTTGAATATATATTCTAGAGCTTTCATAGCTTTAAAAAGTTGATCATTTATACCAGTTTTCTCAGCATTATCCACATAGGTTTTTAGAACTTTTGTCAGCTTTCTGTTAAGAACACAAAAAAGAAGGAAAAGAACACAAACATGTTATTGAGGTATTTCCCACTAAGAATCCTATAGTCTAAAAAATACATCAGTAGTGAAAATGAAGATACATTTATTAATCGTGTTTAATAAAGTAATTCATAATCTTAATACTGTTCTTATGTTAGCCCTAGACTAGCTCTAGCTCATTTTATCCACTTATAAAACATGCACAATACCCATACACAAAACATGTGCGGTGAGCTTAACAACTATTGACAAAATCCTTGGAATATGAAGATGTGCAAGTGAACAGTGCAAACAATCATCAATAGCTGTAACTAGATTTCTAAAATTACATTATAACATAAAAATCAACAGCAGTGGCCATTTGACCTGCTACTCTTTCGTTCACTTCCCCTGTGGACCAGTGATAAAATGTATTCTTTCCACATTTATACAGTAGCAGCTGGTATATAAAAAGTAGTGCTGTCCCCAAACTTAAGGAGTTTTAAACTGTATTTGTATAAACTAATCAAAATGGCTTCTTTATTTCCTGACTAGAAGTCATATTTTTAAACCAGAATATATTAGGCTCCCAGTTTTAAATTAGTATAAACATAATTTACCAGTTGCTATTTTTTAATATGCAAGAGGGTAGGGGTTTAAAGAAAATTAAACATAGTACAAGTGATATTTTTAAATATTTACAGTGTAGGACCATATAAGCCATGGCAGTTAATGGGATACCAGTAGCTGAGGGCCTCATTTTTAATTTATGACTTTTGTGACTACTGTTTAAACATTTTACTGTACACATAGTATATAAACTTAAGTTAGCTACCAAAATTCAACCTAAAAAAGAAAAGCTGCTGAGCAAAACTGTCTACTAATCAATGTGTATCCAACAAGAATGTCTGAAAGGGCAGCAACAAAGGGCAAGGAGACATGTTCAAAACAGCAGCAGGCTGGGGGGGGTTTTCTGTTTGGTTGTGTTTTTGGTTAAGATGAGAATTGTAGACAGATAATTAGAGACAGACAGAACATCAATTCCACACTACAGACCAGAGGGATTTAAAATATTCTAATATGCATTATTTCTTGCTCAAGTTCAATGGATAGTTGTCATGGGGTTTGTTTGTTTGTTTTAATAAACACTTTCCCATAAGAAATTTTCAAGAGAGACATATATCACTACCTCATTGAAAACCAGAAGCTCAGTGTACTATGCTACAAAATTGACAGCATGGCTGCTTTTTTTTTTTTTTTTTTTTTTTAATTTTTCAAACTGGAATTATTATTAAAGCAAAGCTACCTTTTGTCTCATGCCATTTTTCCCCTCAAGTTTAATAGGTAAATACTATTTAAAATTACACGAAGGGGAATTTGAATAGGATCTGAACATATATGTTCAGCAATATTTTTCCATTTAAAAAAAAAAAATTTTAAACACTCACGTGTAGGCTAAAGTAGCACTGAAATGCTTCTTAATGTAAGTTTCCAAGACAGGATTAAAATGCTGGAATTTTCTGTCAGCAATCAGTCCAATGATAAATACCTGCAAAATCAGAAAAAAGTATTCTATTAGCTGCAAAATGTTGGATCCTGTACACTGCCATAAACTAACTATGAACTGTCTGAATTATTCCGAAATGAGCCTCGTTACTATCATAAAGAACACAGAGCCCTTGGCAATCGTTCATTTGAAGTGCTCCAAATTCTATTCCTGTTCGAAGCACTTCAGGTCACAAAAAGACAGTCAGCCTCCCTCCTACATCCAACCTGCCAGAGCACTTTGGAATTCCTGCAATGTCGTTCAATTGTGTGCTTTCCAACCAGGGGGTATGACAGGATAGCCAAGTCCTGTGGCTAGGGCCTCCTAGCCTCTGTGCCCTGATGAACAATGGAGTACCCTCCTGCTAGAACCTGCTAGGAGACCTTGCCTTCTATCCCCAAACCAAGAGACTCCTTTCCCCTTGACAGAACTGCAACACTGGACGTAGAGAGGCATTCAAGGATTTCTGCTTTCCAGCCCCAGCAATGGCTGAATGCATAGGAAAACACTCATTGGCTGTCCACCCCATTCTCCCTGCTCCTTCAGCTCTCTTCAAAATGAAGTGCTTCCCCCAGGGTTATTTTGGAATGCTTTTAAGAGCGTGTATGTCTGCTCCCTGACTGAATCACTTCAGAAGGTATGTGTTGGACTTCAAATATTATATCTGTGCAGGGCCAGAGACACCAACTCTGACCCCTAGTAAAAGAAAAGAGGAAAAGGAAAAAGCAAAAAGAAAAGATATACATTCCTAATATCTTCCATTCCTTTATTGATTTTCTGTTCTTAACAGAGAGATGGTTCTTTCTCTAGACCAACATTAGTGTCCATGTACAACATGAACTGTAACATATAAAACGTATAACATGCAATATGCAGTGGATGCACATGTTATGTTTTAATACAAGAACTGAAACTGCTTTGGTCCCTCACACTGTCAGCCGACATGACTGTTTGTATCTTAAACCTCAATAAAACCATTTGTTGCTATGAAACCTCAATACCCTTTTCATTTAAGCAGTACTAAGTGTTAAAAAGCCATTTTAAATATACAAGCATAGAATTGTATAATTTTTTAGCTAATCATCATAACAGCTGCTTATGAAATAAGAGGGCTGTTTTATAGCTTAGACAGTTCTTAAAGTATTTACTTATTTTTGTAACGGGGGTTTAGTTGAAACGTAAACTTACCAAAGCATCAAACACTAGCGTGTCAAATGTCTCACTTTCTGAATTCTCCATCATTATGTTAAAAAGTGCATCCAGCGTATCTTGTAGGAACTGCAGATAAATATTCAGTTACTATATTTCATAGGAAACTTTAAATATAATCTTGAAAATTTCATTTCATTTATCCACATACACAATTATTTTTATTTCTAAATTACTACACAAGCTAGTTAGTTGGAAGTTGGAACAAATATTTTGTCATGTTTTGTTTTCCAATGATTTTCCCCACCCAATTAAATATCTGTATTAGTTATTTAATATTAATTAAATTATTTACGTATTAATAATTTTTTTTTAATATTTTCCTCCACCCAGATTAATTTAAAATTAATATTTATATGAAGACTGGTCAAAACTTGATATATACACATACAATATTTGAACAGAAAGCTTCCTGTATTAGAGCAAGTATTTCAGAATTCAGTCTCTACATTGTTACTGGACAGGAACATGCAATTTTTGAGAATGAGAGTGTATCTCAGTATAAAACATGGACGAGCAAGTCAGTCTCATGCTAAATAAATCAAGCTGGACTTTGCCGCTTTGAAATTATCTTGATAGTCTCACACACACACACACACACGCGCGCTATTGCTCTTCATGACTGAATAAACTCAGACCCAAAATTATCAAGCAACAGCAAACATGCAGGCATGAGAAAAATAAACGGTAAGACACAACCTTCTGTCCCTCCCTCAAAAACCTACAGGCCTCTGTCACAATTACTGTGGATGAATCTTCACTAGACAGTAGGCAGGATACCCTGATCTGTACAACACGAAAGTAAAAGATTTAGCAGAAGTTTAGTAGAATGGTAACAGGTGCTTTACAACTATTTAATATTCCTTCCTAACACAGGAAAATAACAGATAAATGGGTTAGCAAGGATTTTTGAGAGCAATATCTCTTATTGAGCCAACTGCATAGTTGGGATACACTTAGGCTACATAGAGACATTAAATTCTACCAGAAGAAGTTTTTTTTCCAGTAGAAAAATAGCCCAGGATCTGGACTGTATAGATGTCCCTCTAGCCCTATTGCTGGAGATCTTCACAGGCAAGCTCTCCAGCCAGAAGGCACTAGAGGAGGGGTGGCCAACCCGCGGCTCCGGAGCCACCTGCGGCTCTTCAGAAGTTATTATGCATGTCCTTGAATCTTTCCACAAGCACATGGTGACCATCACGTCATGTGATGCAACTACTCGCAGCGAGCACATTACTCAGTTTGGACTCGGAAATTTGGACTCAGCTTCAGAGCTGAAAAGCAGCTCCAAGAGGTTTCCTACTCTGAGAGAATGTCCCCGCATCCCATTAATTAGCTGATTGGCAGGTTAAATTTCCCATGGTGGGAACCCTTCTAGGTCTCTCCCACATGCAAATAACCCCAATAACTTGCACTGCTCTAAGCAGAGAAGCCTTTTCCCCAGCCCTGCTCCTGTTTCCCAGGAGGAATAAAGCTTGGGGAAAGTGTTCAGACATTGTCTCCCAGGAAACACTCTCCAGGGAATGCTTTAACGCTGGTTGCTCCTACTGTTTTGTTCCTCCAGAGTAGCCATTTTTATTCTGAGGGAAAAAGTTTGCAACGTTTGCTCATTCCCCTTTTCTACAGGGAAAATGGTGATTCTCCCAGTAGAAATTGCACGTCTGTATGTGGTCTTAGACAAGCTTTTGAGTGCAATTCATTCTTCTTACATATATCCTAGACTACCGTGACTAGAACATCACTAACACTACTTATAAGGGGTTCCTCATCTTCTGAGATGCGTTTATTTTTGCTAACTAATTCTGTGTCTGGTCAACTTCTATTAACAGATGAGTAGAAAAACTACATGGGCATTTCCATGGCACAAGAACAAGTCACTTATTTGATTGGATAAAGCAGTGTTAAGATTGGAGCAGTTTTTCTACAATTTGCAAGGTTCAAGCCTGTCCACACACACTACAATTAGAAGGTAATAGCTGCTGCCCCTTTAAAACAGCTCCAAAGCTGTGTGCATTTATATCCTTTGATTTTCATGTTGCATGATCAGGTTTGAAAATACATGACCAGGGCTTCCAGCAATGGATGTACCCAAGAAAATTATTTTTGAAGCCCGCTGACAACAAGGGTAGGAGCTTTGGGGCTGACAGGAAGACATGTATTATATGGCATGACTAATTTGGTACACTACTACTTTTTACTACTGCATCCTACTAATCACATACATAGAACTCTATCACAATTAGATTCTTAATTAACAAGGTAACATTTTCAGTCTAGATATTCCTTGATAAGAGTCAAACTTCTGTCAAGTCGTTGTACAATCTCTTTAAACGTGTAAACACTAGCACAGAATGCAAAAGTTTTTTGTTGGAGGTTTACAAACCATTAAGAATTTATTAACACAAAATTTTAATATGCTTGATCAAGCAGACAAATTAAAGTTTTTCATGAAAAGTGGAAGCAGCTTAAAAATATATAGGAGGGGAGCTGAAGCAAGGGAAAGAAGGAGTTATGAACTAGAAATGAGTATGTAACATTGTACGAACTAGGCTACCAAGATATTTGAGACAGTACAACATTCAGTTTCAGACTACTGCTTTCCAAAAATAAACCTGTCTTTTATGTTGGTCCATACAAGCACTCAATGACTTTATGGCTTTGACTTATGTAGACTATCCCAGCTATTTCTTCAGCAAGAAACTTAACTGAAAAAAATCAGTGCCATACCCTGAAATGTGACACTTGCTCTCTCCATTCAAACATAAAATAATGCATATAGCATTTATCTAAGAACCTGAACTTTTACTATTTATTTTATCAGCTCAAAATGAGTAAGATCCCTCAGTGATATTTCAAAGAAGCTTTGATTATAAAACTTAAATATAAAAACTCCTTTGACATTTAAATAGGCATATAAAAACAATTTTACTATAAGATTTTAAATATCTACATTTCTAGAACATCCCTGTGTTCCTGTCTCTGTTTAACAGCACTTCCTTACTTTACCTTACATTCTGGGGATACCTTCATTGAGGATGGTAAGGCACTTATAGTTTCTCATTGCTGTAGTCTCTAAGTATCAAAGCAAGAGGTACTCAATTTAAAAATGAAAGTTTGTTTTTTTTTTAAAAAAGTTAACTTGTCTGTTACCTTAACCACTTCACCACCATCAACTTTCATCAACTGCCTCAAATTCTGCTGCAGCAAATTTGTGTTTGATCGCCACTTCAGAAGTCCCAAGAGGTCCACTAGAAGTGAGAGAGGTGAGAGGAAAAAACAAAACAATTATGTGCTGCAAGAGTTACAGTATCAATCCCATACTCTCACTATATTCAGAGAAAATAAAATCTTCACTTTCCACATCATTCATTTTTACTACCTGCTAGCATGTTTCACGTATATCTACATTGGTGAAATCTAGCATTACATTCCCATCTTCAATTGCGTTTTTCTTTTGAAAATGTCATTCACTGAAATTTAAAGAAATGCAAAAATCAATGGCAATTATGAAAAGGATAGTTTATGCTATAACACAGACTATCATTTCCATTACAAAATACTGCAATTTTCAGAAAATCAGATTACACTGGAATGTAGGCTGAGTTAATGCTGGTTTCTCAATGCTAATATTTTTGTGTACAGTAGTTTTGAGTTTAGAATCACATCTATAAAAGCCAAAGTCCTAAACTGTATTAGCCAGCCACCAATACAATGAAATCGTTAAGCTATAAAGGCATGTGAAATTCATGTCTACATTTTTTCCCCCACACAGTGAATAAAGAGAAAAAAAACAAACAGTGCAAGGTTGTTAAGTTAATAAACTTGCAGCCCTGCCTGAGAAATGTCAAGCTATTGATCACATAGCTCCACACCTGGTCTCTAGCCCATTGCTCAGCTCCCACTAGCCTCCTCTTGTCCGAAATACAATAAATGACAAAAGTGTGCTAGTTGTCTTGCTGTACTAGAAATTAGGAGCCCCAAACCCATTTCATAAAAGCAAGATAGCAGAATGGTTAAGGCTACAGATCCTGTTGCTATTCTGGAAAAGTGAGTTTAATCCAGAATGTGACCGATGGCTTGAAGTTGTAGCAAAGTAGGCTTAAACTGGATATCGGGAGGGGGGGGGAGGAGATAAACAAACAAACAAAAAAACCCTTCTGTCGCTGTTAGAATATTGCGGCAACGGTATAGACTGCCTTGGGAAATTGTGGAATCTCCAACACTGAAGGTCTTCAAGAGGAGGTTGGACAAGCACCAGTCAGAGGCATGGATGACCTAGGCACAGCTATGCCTATGCTCTACTATGGGTATTTCTTATGCTTCTCAGTTTTGCTGTTTGCCACATGAAGCTGAGAAGAAATTTTTTCCCACCCCTGTTGCTACACATGGCAGAGGTCTTCCCCTGAAGCATTGGGTATTGCCTGCAGCCAAGGCTGGGGATTTTGATTAGGCTGTGCCAATACTCCTGCTGAGACTTAAACCCAGTGGTTCCTGGCTAGAGAGTCTTGTCCCTCTGCTTAGGATCAAATCAATCATCATACCTGGGAGTTAAGAAAGAATTTTACCCCTTGTTCAGATTAGTATAGACTATGTATGGGTGGTTTTGCCTCCCCCTGTAGTGGTGGGGCACAGCCAATTTCCTTAGATCTCTCTTTTTTAAACCCTCACAGTAGTAAGACATTGACTGCCATTGCTCTCCTGCCTTATTTGTGGCAGGTTTGGGTGTTATGCCTTGTGGTTTCATAGCTGTGTCAGGGTTGGCTGTAGTTTTACTAATAGGATAAATAATGGATTTGTGACAGGATGGTTTGGACTGGGATGATTCTGCCTCTGATGGGTTTTGGACTAGATGACCTCTGATGATCCCCTTCCAGCTCTACTTTTGTAGGATTCTATTATCCTCACTCCAGACTCATACCAATGGCCACTCCTAGTCAACCTAATGGTCATTAGAACTGAGAGATAAAAAGGCAGGAGGATGTGATGTTAGTTGGTCCCTTGTGTGCTGTTTTCGACAGAAAGTGATGCTTTAACCATGTAAGCTAGTGAGCCATCTAGGGTCAGATGGACCTTTGACCTTCCTGTGAGCCGATTTACAAATCTGGTTCAACAGAGAACCAGACCAGCAGCTAACTAACTAAAGTAGACACCTGCTAACTTGTAACACCTCCCATATCAAGTGTTTGAAATGCGCTGCTGAAGACAAAATTCTCTCCCCAGACACAGACAATCTTTATGAAGGAAAAACTTCATCTCAGTGTCGCCAATGCAACTTGCAAAACAGGCCAGCATTAATCCCCAAATCAACAGGGTAGGGAGCTGGTAACCTGGGTGTGAAAGGTTTTGTATATGGGATATACAGGGGCAATGGATCACCTGAACCCTACTACCCCTAGGCTTCCCCATTTCCCAGTCTGATCCTTTCTGCACTAGACTGGGAGAGACCCTGGTGGATCCACTATCCTTTATTCTTCCTGCCAGTCCAAACAAAAGACCCCACCCTTGAGGATAAAAGCATTCCTTCTGTTGTGGTGTTTAATGTAAGGGAACTGCAGAACCTATTGATCTTTTTAGGGCTAAGAGCAAGATAAGAGTGCAGCATACATTTAAATGGGAAGATTTCTTTTGCAGAATTTCTAACTAAAGTACATAAAAGAGTATGTCTTTAGCCATACTACAAAACATTTATTTGCTATACAAATAATATAAATAAGCAATTTATACTCCTAAGTAGTAGTCCTCTGATGAACAAGGTGAAGTTCAAACTGGATAGCATTTTCCTTACATCACACTTCAAATAACTCTGAAGTATCAACAAATGTTTCAAGGCTGCTGTTACCTATTCCAAAGTGAATGCCATACCATTCTCACATGAAGAGATACATTTATAAGTTGAAAGATGAGAGAAAGAGTGGACTGAAATAGTTTGCATTGAAAATGGTAAGAGAAGTAAAGGGGCTTCTCTTGAACCTATTAAGAGTGGAAAACAAAATAATTTCCAAATAGCTAGCAAGCTAAAAGACTGTCTCCTCCTCAGAAAAAACTACTACCCCACTTTGGCAATGCAACTGAAAAATGTTACTGATTCAGTAAGCAAGAGACTTGAGTAGCAACCAAGGGTGGAAGGTTAAGGCAGGTATACACTGTCAAAGAAACACTAAGAGTGACAGGACAGAGCGCACACCCACTGCCTACACAAGCCACATTCAGGAACAGATGCAACATAGTTGCCTTAGTACAGGGCTGGCTGCTCATCATTAAATATGCTGAAGACAGCTTATTGGCACATGCCCAACTGCACAGATGCATGACAACCCATTCAGAGTACAGCCATCTCTGAAAACTGAAATATTCACAGTGATAACCTAAGAGAGCATCACTGTGACTGTACACTTGAAAGAAAGCTTAAAAGGCATTTATTTATTTATATGCATAGAAAGCGTCACTGCTGTGCTCCGTAACACAGGCCTCTGATGGGGCATATATACCCTTAGAACAGGGGTGGGCAAAGTCTGGCCCATGGGCCAGTTCGAGTCTGCAGCAAACTATTTCCCAGTGGCTCCTGTCTGCGTTGTGGACACGACAGAACAGGGCCAGGGTCTCAACAGAAACCGACTCAAGCAACACTGGCAGGGCATGTGGCAGGGCAGGGAGCTGCTCCAGGGCCAGGGCCGGGGCCGGAACCAGAATCTTTCAGTGGTGGCAATGCAGGCCAGAGCCAGGGCAGAGCTGCAGTCGGTTGCCTGCATGCCTGTGGGGCAGTGGATCCTGGCTCTGCCCCAGCTCTGGCCCACGCTGTCACTGCCCTGTCACCACCGCAAGACCCTGCCCCTGTCCCCAGCACAGCACCTCGCCCAGCTGCATGACTTGTCAGTGTCACTTTGGAGCTCCATGGAGAACCTGGCCCCATGCTGTCACAGCCCTACTGATCCCGGGGCCTCCATGTAGACCAGCTGAAAGAACACAGGCAGGGACTGCTGGGAAATCAAGTTTGGCTGCCAGCCAGATCCACCATTTTTCCCATCCCTGCCTTAGAGACTTACTTTAGCCAAGGGAGTACTATTACTTATAGATTACAATAAGTACATTCAGGACATTTTATCTGCCAAGCATGCCTACTAAATCAGGGGTGGGCAATTATTTCAGGTGGGGGCGCCGCATGGGTAGCCCCACCCCTTGACAGGTGCCCCACCCCCCCGGTTACCATCTTGGGACCAACATCCCAATGTCTTGGGACAAATGTCCCAGGGCCAGCACCAGTGAGGCCCAAAGCGGGGCACAGGCTGGCAGGGGTCTGTGCAGTTGGGCTGGGCTGCACCAGCAGGGAAGGGGAGGGAGCTGTCCCGGCTCCATAGAGCCCCTGCCAGCTGGGACCCCGCGCTCCTGCCACCCTGCTCTGGGTCCTGCCAGCACTGGCCCCGGAACACCAGTGCAGGCCCTGTGCTCCCGCTGGCTCCCCGTCCACTCACTCCCAGTGACCCCCAGCCTTGCGGACAGGCGGGGAGCAGCACATAGCCCTGACCCCCTGCAGGGAAGAAGCTGGTGCTGAGGACGGGGAAAAGTGGCCCCTCCCCCGCCCCATGGCCTGCAAGTGGGGGCTTCTGGCTTGGGACCATGTGGTTGCCCCGTGCTGGAACCTCAGGTAAGCGGGGTGGGGGGGAAGGGCAGGGGAGGACACTGGGCAGGGCGGGGGCTGCTTTTCCCCCCTGCTCTCAGCACCAGCTTGTAACCTGGCCCTACTGTCAGCCTCGGCCCTGTGCTGGCTCTGGGCTTGCCCGTCGGGGCTGCACGTGGCAACAGGAGCTGCGGCCCCCTCTTGCTGCTCTGGGCAGTGTTTGCTACCGCCGCCTCTGGGCTGCCCAGCGCGCGAGCTCCGGGTGGGCAGCAGCAGCCAACACTGCCTGGTGTGGCAAGTGGGGGGGCCGCAGTTGCTGACACTGATAGACAAGCCTGGAGCCGGTGCGGGGCCCAGGCTGGCAGCGGAGCTGGGTTATAAGTTGGTGCTGAACACAGGGAAAAGCAGCCCCTTGCCCGCCCTGTGGCCAGTGCCCCGTGCTGGAGCTGCTTGCAGCCTGCGTGGGGGCGGCCCGGCCTCCTCC